TACAGTGGTACCTCAGGTTACGAACGCCCCAGCATACGAAATTTTCAGGATACGACATGAAATTCGAACATATTTTTGCTCCACGATACAAACAAAAACTCACCATACGACGTTACATTAGTTCGCATTTTTCATTTGTTTTTGTTACTACAGTTATAATTTTTAATGTATTACTTGGCTTTAATTTGAGTATGTTTTTCGTGTTGGAACGAATTATTTGGTTTTACATGTAATCGTATGGGAAAAGATGATCCACCTTACGACATTTCCATGATACGATCTCAGTTTCGGAACGGATTAATTTCGTATCCTGAGGTACCACTGTATCAGTATTTCAATATACTAAGAAATAAGCCTAGTATCTGTTGTATAGTTTGAGTGGTAAAATTTTAAGATTTTTCTCAGACTTATGAATAACCTATATTTAAATATATTATTTTATGCAGAAACTTTAAAATGATTTAATCAGCATTAAATAATACAGATAGATTTACATCTTAAGCAATTAAAAAAATATTGCATTTTACAGGCTGTAACTGATATACAGGTATCCCTCGTATAACATGGTAGTTACATTCCGAAAAAGTCCTATGTTATGCAAATCTGTGCTATACAAAACAACATACTAATGCAAAACATAGGGTTAGGTTCCAAAAGTTAACAAAAGTATACTATTTTTTTCGTTACTAAAAGAAATATACTTATTAAAGCAATTGATAATTTATTTCCAGTCAATCATGATTGTTAGTTAAAGTACTGTATTATGCATTAACATTAATTTTAGTTAAATGAGGGCATTTTCTTTTTACAAAGTATCTCATATTCTGAGCTTTTTGTTATCTTAATCAGAAATATCAGCAATGTCTTCACTTTTTAATTTTTATTATAAAGGAATTTTTTATAGATGACAAAATAAAAATATGTTATTAATTGAAAATTTATTCTAGCTGGTCAGGTTTGTTCATTTGAGTACCAAGCAATTTTTTCTAGCATTTGTGTTCAAGTACTGAATTGTTCGAATTAGGAACAGTTTTGGATACCGAGATGCTGCATATTTTGTTCATCAATTTTTACAAATGATTACTTACCAACAGTTAAAAAAGGTTTTGTAACACTTAGCTAAACATGTTTAAATAAACTTTATTAAATACTACAGTTAATCTATAAAAACAAAACACACTGATAGTCTTAACCTTTCAACAGTGGGATAGTCAGGTATGGTGCTATCCCAAAGTAGTGGAGAATAAATGTGAGAAATTTTTAAAGTATTTTTCCATGCATTTTTTCTCATTACTGTTTCAGAAAAAGTTTCTGTAAACAGTTATCTAGTAAAGTCTTTTTTTATTGTTACATAATTTATTTTTTATGTGAATTTTTTTTGCAGTAGTTTTTGGTGATACCCCCAAAAGAATTTAACAGATATATCCGTCCCTCATCACCGCCACACGATTGCCCTGGATGGATATATCTGTCCCTCACTGTCGAGTGGTTAAGCCGTTATGGGCTAGTATGAAAGCAATGATGAGGACACCTGGTTGATAGCTTTCCTATCAGTTTTCCTTAAAATAAATCTGATGAAAGGCACAAAACAAATTGAAAAATTCAATAATCTAAAATCCAGGGGCAAATTTGAAACAACATGCATGCTTACTTGAATAAAAAAAAAATATAAAATAATAGAGTTTGCACTTAAAAGTTGTGAAATTTTGTATGGAGGATTTCCCAAATTCTCGAATTGTATTAGAAAGATATTGGAAAGTGTTTTATGGGGGATTTCCCCAATTTTCAAATCATGTTAGACTGAAACCATGTTGTAGAAGTGCCTCATTGTACAAGGGATACCTGTATTTATACAAAATTGGATATGTCTGTTAATAGGGTGCAGGAAATATCATACATCAATGAAATTGTAATAACTTACTTTTACTTTATGCATTTTACAGTCATTTAGAAAGTGCATAAATGAATTTATTAAGGTTTGATTATCTCTTATAACTGATATATTTAATTAATTAATTATAAGGTATAAGTATTGGTTTCAGTATCAAAAACTGTTATGTATAATGGAGGAAATGACTATCTTTTATAGTGAAAATAAAAGATTCACTTTCTTTATCACTTACAAATTAGTTTTTCCATAATTTAATCAATACTCTAGCATTTAATAATACATTAACAAACAAGGAATATAACTTGTATATGAGAGTTGTATAATTTATACCATATTTTCATGCATATAAGAGCTTTTATAGATGGGGTAAAATCAGCACTATATTCTGCATTTGCAAAGTACCTAAAAAACTCACTACTTTTAAAAAAGTTTATAGTATCAGAAGCATTTTTTATTTTCAATAAAGGGTTTCACAGAGATGCCACTGAATAGGGTGCAGTGCTCTCTCTTATAAACCAAAACAAGCTGGCACACACAAGAGCATGCCTCTTATATGCAAGATATGCTCTTATAAGTGCAGCAGGACATTGTTTCAAAGAAAGAAACAAGTGATTTTCACATATAAGAGCCTGTTCTTACGTGCAATATATGGTAAATTATTGATAGTAATTCTTTTACAGAAATATAAAAAATATTATATACTTTCTTAAATTTTTGATTGGGAATACACAACTGTATCTTTATAGCAGTGTATTAGTGACAATAGTATAGTATTAAAAATTTCAAAATCAATAGTATTCAAAATTTATTTGCAAGTATATAAAATTTTATAACAGTGATTCTCAAACTTTTTTGAGACACTGTCCCCTTGGTTCCATAAACTTATACCCATTTTCTCTTGTGTGAGAAAGGCTTGAACATTCACATTTCAGTATGAATTGGCCAAATCTGTAACAGGCATGAATAAACCACCCTAGTGCCCAAAAGAGAGAGTTAGAAAAAAGAAAAATTATTGATAATCAAAAATTCCATGTCTGTATAGAAACCTTCATTTTATTACATGTATTTCGAATTTTTTAGGAAAATTGATGAATAGTACATAAGAATATTTGTTTTATTAAATGTTCAGTTCGTAATATCTAATCTATTTGTTTTTATGCTAGATCGGATGTTGGAATTACTCCCGTGCATCTTGCTGTGATTTATGACCTTTCCGAAACACTTTTGCATCTTCTCGAACATGGAGGAGATCCTTTAGTCATCGACAAAAATGGATTTAATTCATTACAAATTGCAAAAGAACGAAATTCCTACAAGTGTATAGAATTAATTCAAAACTATTTAAAAGAAGCAAAATCTAGTAAAAATTGTAATTCTAGTCATTATGAAAAATTTTCAATAAAACAGGAATGTCAGGATGTGAATTCTGATACATTGTCTAAAAAATTTTCAGAAATCTGCATTACATCAACTACATTAGTAAAAAGCAATAATGGCAGTGATCTCAATAGATCAACAAATAATTTCATTTCTGAAAAAGATTATTTAACAATGTCAAATAATGAAATCAGACAACAACTGTTGAAATTTGAAGATAATCCTGGACCTGTAGTAGATAGCACTAGAAGTTTATATATTAAAAGATTGCTTGTATATAAATCTAGACAGGCTAATACTAAAATTCTTGGTAAGATTTACTTTAAATGTTTTTTAAACTTTATAGTTATTATGATAAGCAAATTGAAATTTGACAATATAGACAACTATTAATAGATAGATTATATTAGCGAGGTTGAGGCTGAAGTTTTCATCTCTAAAATGTGAATGTCAAACATCGAATGCTGCTTACAATGTAGCGACGTTTAACGTTCATGTTTAGAGATGAAAACATCAGCCACAATCTCACTATTATAAATAATATTTTGATAATTAAATCTTAAAAGTTAACTATAAAATATTTTTCATTCTATCAGTTTTAGATGTATTTTAATTCATATTTTATGTTTAAATTTCAATTTATCTAATGTATAAGCTAGAAATGTTCAAAAATCTGACACAAATGAATATATAACATACAAATATTGATAATTAATAATATTGATAAAAAGTAAAAAAACTCATATTTTTACTATTGTTTGCAGTATTCTTAAATATTAATGACTAGTTCATTGTCAGATTTCAAGTTATTCATAACACAAAAATATGCTGATGTATAAAATTTTTGTAATTTTTCAGATCCTATTACTGAAATATCATTAATTTTAGAAGATAAATTAAATTTATTACATTACATCTGTTTAGAAAGAGAAATAAATAGTAACTTTTCTGAGCAGAATTCAAAGAAGAAATGGAGAGGAGGAAATCAGAAATTGTCTTTTGTGTATTTTCTGTTAGATCCCAGAAATACAAAAGATCTACCTTCAAGAAGTTGTGAACTATCATTCTGGGAAACTTTTCAAATATTTCTTCTCAGTATATTCTATGTAGGTAAAGGAAAACAAACTAGACCATTTGATCATTTGAAAGAAGCATTAAATTTCCAGGATAAGAAAAATATTAAGGTAATAATTACTGAATTGTATAACAATTGAAAACAAGGGCATTAGCCCATTCTCTGAGGAATCCAGATTTCAGTTTGGATTGAATCTATAGTAATGCTTGTGAGTGGCTTGACCTAAGTTTGTGAAGTTCATCATTCTATTACTGTGATGAATATAAAAAGATATCCTCTTAATGCCTACAGGCCAGAAAAAGTTAAAACTTGTACTTAAATTTTGAATTACAAAATTTCTGTGATTTTTCTAAAAATTCATTATTCTCTGTCTTACCATAATGCAATTTTAATTCTTATTAAATGTTTTAATATATTTTTTATATTGGTAGCTTACACCAAAGATAAAGCAGATACTTGATATCTGGGACTCAGGATATGGAGTAATTTCACTTCATTGTTTCCATAATATCATACATGTCGAAGCTTACACCAGAGAAGCTTGTATTTTGGATGCGTTAGGTAAATGTAATTTAAATTAATACAGTTACTTAAGTTTTATTATGAATTAATTTTTTTTGGTAAAAAATTTCATATTTTTTAAATTTTATATCCTTATACTCATTGACTTTACATTAATTTTAAAAAATAGTTGCTAATTAAAGAAAAACATCAGTGCTTGACCTTTAATGACAATTTTTTCCTGACTTGCCTATCAGTTTTGAAATAAGTGAAAACAAACAATATCATGCTGCTTAATAATATATTTATAAGGTAAAACCTCATTTATGTGGCCACTCCTGAAAATCCCTAGTAAAACTGCATAAGTTTTAATATAAATCAAACTCCATCTTGGTGGCCACCTCACCCAAGTGGTTAAGATAGAAGTGGCCTAAATTGACATTTATTCCCATTTACATGGCCAACAGAAAAGGTAAAACCTTCATTCCTACTCTCAATGTATTATTTAAAGCACCTTAAATAGAATTCAGTGTTATTGCTGTACTTGTTGAACAGTTTGACAAGATCCCTCCAATACATAATGATCAAATTTTAAAAATAAATCTTTATTTACATTTGACAAATTAAAATTCCTCATTAAATTTGTTTTCAGAACTTAGTAAGAAGAAAGACAACAGCATATTTGTCAATAATTTTATACAAAATCTGATATATTTTTGCAAAATACAACCTGTATCTTTCTTGAACATATTCATATTAAACACAGTCAATATTTTAAGTAAATTTTTGATGATTAGTTGACATATAAATTTAATGTTGATATAATTAAGTTTAATCTATTATTTGACTTTAAACAAAAAAAAATCAAAGTAATTCAGATCAGAACTATTTATTATACAATAGCTCAAATCACTGTTATAGTCATAATTTTGAAAAATAAAAATATATTATTTATGTTTTATATAGGATTAGATAATATAACTAATCAAAGAAGGGGAGAATACTATGGGATAGCAGAATCATGGAGTATGACAGACAAGAAGAAATTTGGTTATTACCTCTTGTATCGAGCAGCATCTATATTTTTACACGAAGGAGAGAGACCGTTATTCAAGGATGATATAACCGATTAGAACTTTTATTATATCAATTATTTTATATTGTTTTATTTGGCAAACTGAATGATGAACTACAGTTCAAAAATTATGTAAGAAACTGAAATATATTGTATACTATTTATATGAAACAAGATGTAATGTAAAAGTTATAAAAAAAAATAAGTTTGTAATTGGTTTAAGAATGAGAACAATTTGCATAAATAAAAACAATGTATATAATTTTATTTAAATAAGAATAAAATAAATATATGAATATGTTTGTAATGAAATATAATCATTAGAACAAACTAACCTATTGTATTTATGCAAACAAAAAGATGCATTAAACTATTACACATATACAGTGGTACCTCAGGATACAAAATTAATCCGTTCTGAAACTGAGATCGTATCATGAAAATGTCGTAAGGTGAATCATTTTTCCCCATATGATTACATGTAAAACCAAATAATTTGTTCCAACACGAAAAACACACTCAAATTAAAGCTAAGTAGTACATTAAAAAAAAAAAGTACAGTAAGGAAAACACTGAAAAATGTGTTTTGTAGTTGTAAATGTATAAATAACCATAATAGAATAATAATTGATTAAAAAAAAAATGTAGTTTTATTTGCACTTTACCTTTGAGGATAGACGACGGTGGAGGTGTAAACTGATGGTGGAAGAGAGGGAGAAGGAAAATGATACTAAAACTTTCATAACACAAAGTAACAATAACTTAGAAATAAGTTAGAAAAGATAAAAAAATTTGTGTTGTTATATATATATATATTTATTTTTTTTTAATTTTTATTCACTGCTTTTTGCTTTCTTTCCTTCACTTCCACCAGCACTTTCACTGGATAGAGGTTGCTTGGTAAAATATCTATGCAAAGAGGTTTGGATTTGCCTACTTTTTAAAATGTTTCTAAAATGACTTAGGCAAATGTCATTACTATGAGCAGCAGTATGGCCAGTGTGAACCTTTTTGGGATGTTTCTTTTCAATAAAATCAGTCACTTTATGATAATACCTCGAGATTTCCTTTATCAAGCGAGATCCTTCCACGACAAAGCAAAATGTGGACTGAGACCAATGAACAGAAGTGAATAAAACATGGCGCTGCAAACTAATGTAACTTCATATGGTGAGTTTTTGTTCGTACCGTGGAGCAAAAATATGTTCGAATTTCATGTCGTATCCTGAAAATTTCGTATGCTGGGGCGTTCGTATCCTGAGGTACCACTGTATAAATTTTAAACACTGAAATTTTAAGAAAATGAATATTATAGGATTAAAATCATACACTATGGATGGAATCCCAGTAATATAAATGTTGAGATGTTGTGCCATACTATTCCATGTTACTTTAAAACAATTTTTAAACAATATTAGAGCTATATATCAAAAATTTTTTTTAAATAATAGACTATATAAAATATTTAACCATAGATTACTAAATTATCATGCAGATGATGATACTAAACTGTAGTCTGATGAACTATGCACTTTAATTACACTACGATTACAAAATAAACATTGAACACAAAATAACTCATTTTTTCTTGCATCCTTTCACATTTTAGACTTTGTTTCACACACTACAAAATATTCTGAGGTTTTCTTTCCTATTGAACTCAGAAGTCTGAGATGGAATCTAAGTTGTGAACATTCCAAATTATGATTTCCAGAAATTAAATTTCAGGTGCTGGACCTGCTGCTGTCTCAAACTCAGCTCTTTCATATGTTGACTTCTTGACAATGGCTTGTTACAGAGTGGATGGCTGACACTCAGGGGATCAAATCCAGACTGTCAAAAACTCCCAGAAATTTTTGTGGTCAGTTTCAGATATGTCAGACCTCATCTCTCACAACCTGGCCACTTCATTGTGAGCCTGGCCAAACCCATAATTATCTTGATTAAAAGACCCCTTTAGGGCCTATGAGGCAGAAAGATTAAAGCCAAATGACTGGCTTGTTTTTTGTTATGGCAATACAAAACACCTATGCCACTGTGCCTTATTGAGCATGCCAGAAAAAATGCTTAGAGGATATCTTTGGGTTTTCCTGTTGCATGAGTACCTTTTGTTGAGTTTTATAACTCAGCTTAATTTAAGAATTTATTCTGTTATCTGAATAAAAAAGTTTTTGTGTTAGAAATTATCAGCCAGACCCCTTTGTGGGCCTTTCTGAACCCATGATGGATATGAACAAAAATGTCCTCTAAATCTTAAAATTCACAATATTTTAGTTGTTTACTCAATTTCATATTTTAAGTCATTTCAATTATATGAATAGGTTAAATAAAATTATTTTATATACAACATTTCATAATTATAATTTTCTAGCCGACTAAATTAACTTAATTCAATTCTGTTCACTTGGAAAACTGTTTCCAGTAATTAAATTAACCATTTTTTTAAAAATAAAATCAACAATCCTTTATTTTATTACATAAATGAGAGCTTGAGTTTCTAAATATTTGATTTAATGGATATTTACTTATGAAACTTTTTGATACCAAGATTTGTTCTCTACAGGGCCTATCTTTTAAAAAATTGACACCAGGCCAAACAATTTACTCAGATTTTGTACATTTTGGCAACTTTGAAACTTGATGAGATATAATGGCCTTTTGCTGAAAAGTGAAGGTGTGAAAACTTTTTGTGTTTCATGTCCCTTTTATAAGTCCCAAATTATCAAGTCCTTTGAATTACTGAGCCCTAAGCAAAATCCATGTTTTCCTATGCATCAGATAGGCACTGGTCCCTAAATCTTATTTAAAACTTTCATAGCCTTAGTGAAGTTATATATTAATTAACATTTGTTCAAATTGTTTAAGAGTAAAAAAAGTACCCTTACATAGTATTAAGTAAACAATATACATAATGAAGTGGATTTATCTATCAAAATGATAGATAAATCCACTTCACAACAGTCAATAGCTACTAAATTAACATGATTCGTATATTGTTTACTTAATACTATGTAAGGGTACTTTTTTACTCTTAAACAATTTGAACAAATGTTAATTAACAGTCAACAGTAAATAAAAGCAATAAAATATTCTTTATTAGCATTTAAACTTTTTTGTGCCAAAAATATTCATGATGGCTTGATTTTATCACATCATGACTTTTTCCTTAATCTAGGATGTGTTGCAATATACCCCAGGAATTTTTGGGGTATATTGCAAACAGAACACAAAAGCAATCCAACTTTACAGGGGATCTGCAATTAATACAATAAAATTCCACTAGAAAATATTCACAAATAAATTTTGTCAGACATATTTAATAGAAATATTGAAACTACAAATCCATTAGACATTCTTTGTCTAGAAACTAATCAATGTGCAGAAATCAAAATCTGCAAACTGTAAATGCTTCATAATAGGCTATAGAAAAATGGAATTTTCAAAAATCACATATTTATATTTTGTAAATAAATTTTATTTTAATTTTATATGCATTCAAATTTTAGTATCTTTTAAAATACAAAAATCAATCATTTCTGTCCATCTGTCAATGAGAATCATTTCTGGAAAATCTCCAAAAATGATTCTCATTGACAGCTTTCTAGAGAATTTCATTCCAATTAAATGTTAGTTTTTTTTTTGCAAATTTTAATTTGAACACATCATGTATTGCATTTAGTTATAAGAATCAAAGCAATTCTCATTGAACTTGTTTTATAATTCAATATTTCTAATTATTAAAGCTAATAAACTATCCACAATATTAATTTTCTTCAAAACTTTATTCTATTTCTTAAATCAAAATAAAAATAAAATGTTAAACAAGCAATAATTTATTGTGACACTGTCACAATGCTGTGCTGCAATTTTTACTCATATTTTTAATTAATTTAATTTAATATATATGCTTTCCACTTCAAATTAGTAGGTGTCTTGCCCCTGTACAGTACATCATATTGTTCCTGATGACAACAGAGTCATGTCAGTCATCTATGTAATTTTGTTCTAGGGAAAATTTCTCAATTGAAGGGAAATACTGATAAAACTTTGTAATTTGAAGACACAAAAAATGCATTGTGGAAGTCTCCAAATTGTCCTTTCACACCACCCAAACACAATATTACAGTGAACTTGATATTCTTTTTGCATGCTCTTCTCTGTCTAAATATGTGTGAAAGGATGATTTGAAAAATTCAAAGATGTTATTTGGCATGTCTTCAAATCACAAACATTTGTCACATCTATAATAAACTAACAGCTAGGCTTGACCTATATGGTAGCAATTATTATAGTACACAGCTATTTAAAATTTAAATTATATTAATTTATTTTTAATTTTGTACATGAAGGGCACCAGAAAAATTTTTCACGTTTTACAGCACACAGCCAACCGAAAAAGTTTAAGAATCTTTGAGCTAAATAATTGATAAATTTAATATCATAAAAATATAAATGACTGATAAATCAATTTATTCACTTATAGTATATACAGAAAGATTAATTAATTATGTTTCTAGAAAAAAAGTAAAATATTTCACAAAATAATATGAGACTTTCTTAAAGTAATTCTATCATCATGTTTTATTATTTCATATGCATGTGCATGAAAATTTCTAGTTATAGTAGTAATTTTAATATATAAAATGATTATAAATATGCATGTTACACAGTTACATGATCTTTGTATAATTATAATGTTTAAAGTTATTTTGCATTAATAAGCATTCCAATCTTCAATCTTTCATTTATGATAAATAAATTCTTGATTGCTGCAAAATGTTTTTTACTTTGTCAAATGATAAAGTAACATTACTGTTTATATATACACACATACAATACATAAAGTAAAACCTGAATAAACCAGAACTGCACAGTACCAAATATTTTTTCCATTTTGAACAGGTTTCAGTATATACATTTTTTGATTTTTAAAGTATTATTAGATGAATGTCACACAATTACATTCATTTTTATAGTAAAATCACTTTATTGCGTACATAAGAAACATTGTGTTTCATCCATATCAGTCCAAAGTGATCCAANAAAAAAAAAAAAAAAAAAAAAAAAAAAAAAAAACGATTCAATACTAAATTCTTATTCCCAAGAATTTGTTCCAGGTACTCAAATATTGAAGAGTTCTTGGATGAGCTTACACCAGTAAACAAATCAGTTTGAGAACTAAAGACTAGTATTTCACTCTTGGGGTTGCCAGACAGCTTGTGGTTAAAAGTCAGCCCATCGCTCTGGGGATCCAGGATTTAATCAGCAATTCCCCCGGGGAATTTTTCATTGGCAGTTTATCCCAGATATGTCAGGCTCTGTCCTTCACCATCTGGTTGCTCACACCATGAGCTTGGCCATACACATGGGCATAAAAAAAAGCATCTTAGTGTCCACAGGACAGAACAAGTTAAAACAGAAGTGTCTTGTTTGGCTTTCAGAAATTTTAATCATGTTAGTCATAAGAAAAACAAGTTATTCCATTATCCGACTACTTAATGAATTTTAATGCTCTACTTAATTGTCAACTTCAATCTCTGTAACTACCAACAATGTTAATCAATTTGTTCTCAAATACTCAGTTCACTCTGTACAGGAATTTACACTTCTTCTGAAAAGAGAAATCAGGACAAGAAGTTGATGATTAAGATTTAAAGTAATTACTGATAATGTATTAAAATCTGTAAGGACCAACCAATCATTTTAACAATGAAAGTCCAAGAAAGACAAAGGGAACTTCACTTCAGTTCTGGAGAGAGAAGGAAGTACATGTCTGAGTGTATTGGTTGTAATCTGTGAGAACTGTACTACACATTTTTGCATTCTTGTATCCATCCATACTTTTTTTATATTGTTAAATATACTGTTATTAATATACAGAGTGATTAATGTGTTATTTTATCATGTAATAAGTAAATGATCTGACAAATATCATCAACATTTCCAGCATTTTTAACAAATTACATTCATTGCTTGTTCTTGAGAATGTGGTTCTTGAAAATTGGAATCTTATTTGAATATTCTTGTTCTTATTCAATTCTACTCCTGATTAATTCCAGCAAAAACTAATATTAACAAAGACCCCATGTCTTTATGTCCCTCATTTCTCTGATAAGGTTCAAACTCATTCTTTGAATACAGTTTCTTGTGCTGTGCAGTGACATATATCTGGATATGATTTTGTCTACAAGTGTAATCTTAATTTTTCACTTTATTTACATTAAATTATGTCCTTTATACACAAGAACATCTGTTTCTAGTTTATCTTAAAACTGAACATGGAAAATTGATCTGTTTCAAAGTTTTTTTCCATTTGGGCAGATTTCTGCTTTATTCAGGCTCCATTTTTGACAGATTTTACCATATATATGTTTAATCAAATAATCAGAAAAAATAATATGTAAAATAGAAACATTTTATATAATACTTTTTCTGATTATTTGATTATAATTTTAATAATATTTGCATTAAATATAAAATAGAGAAATTCTTAAAACAAATAGAAATATATATATACATAAATATATTTATAATGTGTTCTTTAAATTCATAAAACATAGGAATGCATAAAGTATAACAAATATAAAATGATCACAGTTTTTAAAATTGTTAAAAATATAAAAATCTGATCCTAAGTGTTATCATCTAATATACAAACTATCAGCAGTAACAATTTAAGCTTTTAAAACTTTTAATATTTCTGGCAATGTCTAATTACTCTTTTAAAAAAATACCTTAAAAATTTTAATGTGTGCATTTATTTGCTTTTAAAAAAAACTTGCAACTGTTTTGCCTCAATTTTTTGTTTTCTTAACTTTGTTTAAGATTGATTTTTGATATTTATGATCTAGGAATTCAAAAATTGATGCAAAACTTGACCAAGACGTCATTTCGTGTCTTTTATCACCTGTAAATAATTCTTTGATTAGTCAAAAGTTTGATATTCTAAACAAGATTTTGATTTAAAAAACAAATAGTAAATTATTATACCAGCAGATACACATGGAACTTCATACTGGTCAGTTCTGAGTGGAGTGTCCAATGGTTGTGAACTGGAAACCCAATTACGAGCCACCTAAATTAAAAGAAAAAATTGCAGTTTTACTGAAAACAACTTATAATTAAATGATTAATCTTAAAATAGTTTAACTTAAATTCATTTTTCAGCATAACAAATATATATAAACTAGCAGATGAGCCCGGCGTTGCTTGGACAAAAAGTAATGATAGCGAAGATTAAGATTATTACATTATAGTCAATCTTACCCTTTTTCAAAGAATGCAAGAATTAGGTCCCCCTGTTTCCAGACTAATTAGAGAATTTTTAGATGGGTTAAAAAATATTTGATTTCTCGCAAAAACGAGAAAGCTGCATCTGCATCTGTAAATCTTGCACTACCTTTCCTACTACCTTTGACGTGCTGATTTTTGGTATTTGTGGTCTTTGTGTGGAATCTGTACCTGTATATTTAGTGAGTGTTTCCTGAAATATAAGTGAGAGCATATTAACTAATTCTATGTCTATGTTATCAGTGATGGATGAGGAAGTGCCTGTCATTACTAATAGTTGTTGTATGTGTGCTATTATCAATGCTTGTTGCTAGATTATCCTGATAGGTTACATGATCTTCATTAATAATGTTACATGTTTCTGTCTGATGTATTTGATCAGCAACCTGTTGTTTGATAAGTTCAAGTGTTGTTTGTGGGATAAGGTTGTTGTGTATAATTATTATTTTTTGATCAACAATCCTTTGTTTGGTGACAGTGAGATGAGGATACTATTGTGTGAATCTATGGTGTAGTTGTTGTCTATATGCTGTCCTGTTTGTTTCGAGTTTTGCGATTGCTTAGTAAGTATGGATAATAAACTCGTTCATTTCTGATGTCCATTTCATCTGTTGGCGTGGTTTTCCAGCCTTTGTGGTCTGTGGATGCATTGCCACAAAAACACCAAGGCTAGGTTGATTCCTCACATCTGTTGAGGGCATTGCAGTAGCCGTGCTTGGGCCGGCACTGCTTTCGCCATCGGTAACCAAGGGAGAGTGCAGCCTATTTTTCGAACGTGAGCCTCTGCCTAACCCATGAATGCGGAGCTTGTTAATCCGGGCGACGTCCAAGCAGGGGTATCACACTTTGATCTGGTTACTACCATGATAAATATCTCCACAGAATGTGGGTGTGGTTACAGCATGATTTCAAGAGAAAACCATCCAATGAGTTTGTTTATGCTTATTTTTAGTCATATAAGTTAATGACATTCATTGTTATTGCCCTCCCATAAAGTTGATTTTTATGTCTTTAATTATCACAGTGTCTAAAAAATTAAGCATTAAATCAAAAATAATTAATTTAATTATAAATTGGAAGCTGGAATTCTTGGAAACTTTACCAATACCTTGCCTTTGTTGCTATATTAGGACCATGTTAGTGAGTAAACAATTCAATACAATCATTATATGTTATTTATTTCAGATTTATACCGAAATACTATTATAATTAGATATTTTGGTATTTATTTAGTGTTACTTTGATGTTACATTAGAACTACATATATTAGCAGGCTTCTCAATGAATTGGACATTAGTCATAGTTCTCCCAAATAGTTTGTTATATAGAACAGGGGTCTCTAACCTACAGCTCCCAAGCATATTTATCTGGCCTGCATAACTTGTTTTCATTGACATGTTTTATCATCAAATGAATTACAAACCTCTGCCAGAAAAGAATTTTAAGTTTTAAGAAGTTTTTGCTTCTACATAATTTTGCAAACAAATACAGTTTAATTCAATTATAACGTCATCCATGGGACTGGCAATTTTTTTATGTTATAATCGAGTGTCATTATCTATGGGGTCATAATTTCAGTCTCAAAAAAAAAAAACCAAGTGTGTTTAAGGATCTATTATAAAATCCATTTTAATTTAAAATTTACCATATGTACCATAAAATGTACCATAAAATTACTGTATTTCTTAATGGTAATACAGTATACTGTATTTATTATGGTAATAATTTATTATCATATGTATAAAAGTGCAAACTAAATGTTTAAATCTACTTTATTTACATTATTATGTCTAAGTTTACAACGATGTAATTAAAAATTTCAAAAATGACCTTTTATAAGAAATTTTTATTTGTCTCAAGTTTCGATAATGGAGGCATTTCTGGTTTTGAGAATAATTTTGAATCTGGTTTTGAGAATAATTTTGGATCTAAATTAATGTGTGCTAATTAAAAAGACACAATAACAATATTCACTTTAAAAAAGTCAGTTATTTTAGATTGTAGGCATTTTTTACCTAAAAATTGTTTATCAATGTCATTTTCTAAATAATAGACTTTGTTCATTATTTTCGATGAAGTTTTCCAAGACCTGTAAAACATTTTCAACAATATTATTGCATTATGTGCTTCCCTATTTGACAGCACTGCATTTTCTCTGTCTGATGTTTCATCTGCATCCACATTTTTTTTGTCGGAAGATTTAATTTGCTCAACAATATCTGCATCTGTATAAAATTCAGATGTTATTAAATCTTCATCTACACTCTCATATTCAGTAGCAGCAGATGACAAAAATTTGCTGTTTTCTGAACTTTGAAGTGTTTTAACTAATTCTGATAGAGGAATGTTGTCGTCGTCCTCATTATTGTCATCATTCATAAATGTAATAGCTGTTTGACTATTACACAATTTTGCATGGCGAAAACAGTTTGCTATTATTAGCGAACTAGCCTTATACTAAGATTTTTCCAAAAAATCAACTGCATCTAATAAAGAAATTGCCATTTTATTGTTATCTTCCATATTTGTAATAATTTTTTGTAAAAGAATTTTTCTGAAATGAGATTTAAGGCTTCTTATAATTCTTTGATCCATTGGTTGAAGTACGCTAGTACAATTCTGAGGAAGGAATACAAGTTTAATGCTCTTTAAATTTTCTAAAATTGGATGTGCTGGGCAATTATCAACAAGGAGTAAAACTTTTTTCGTTTACCAATAAGTTCTCTTCTTTTGTTTACCAAATTTCTTCTTCAAAAATCTCAGACGTCATTCATGACTTTTTGTTGGCTTTGTAATTTACTTGTAGTGTTTTTATGTTTTAAAACATCTTGTATTCTTTGATTTTCCTATTACAAGAAGTTTTCTTTTTTTGTCTGTACCAGTCATATTAGCACAAACAAAAGCTGTTATCCTATCTTTTGCAAGTTTTCCACCAACATATTTTTCATTTTTAAATTTAAATGTTTTGTAAAAATTTGTAAAATAACCCTGGTTTCATCTGCATTATAAATGTCTTCATCTGCATATTTCCCCTTAATTTAGGGTACACATCTCTTAACCAGTTTTCAACATCCAGTAAATTTACACTTTTTGCTTCTCCACACATTTTCCCGAAACTTATGCCATGTCTATGTTTTTGTCTTTGATGATAATTTTATCAATTTACTTATTCATTTAACATTTACTTTGTTCTTAAATATTTAATTAATACTATCAAATTAATGCATAAAATTCTACTTTTATAATTTTACTTATTTTTTAAACTAAATAACAAATTGAATCATAATTGGTGTTATTTGTTACACATAAATCACAAAACTTATCAATAAAGAAAATAATATAAATGAATAATTTCTTTAAATACAATTAAATATAAAAAACTAAAATATAATTTATAAATCAATTATGCACAATAGCCAGATGGCCAAGATAGATTTTTTAACCCTCTCTGCCCTGTGAGCAAGAGGACCTTTTTAGCAAGTCCATTATGGGTTTTAGCCTCTGTGGGGCAGCCAGGTGCTGAGGGATATGGCCCAACATATCTGGATGAGGTGGTTATGGTGTCAGCCTATTCCTCTGGGAACCTGGGATCAAATGCAGGTGGGAAAAAGTCCAAAAATTTTTCATGGATGATCCCTCCTGGATATATCAAGCCACATCCCTCACCCTCATTGTGGGCCTGGCAAAACCCATAATGGATATGATTAAAAGACCTTCTTAGTGCCTTACTAGTAAAAAAAAATCAATTATGTGCTGAAATTGTTTATGTACAGAAATAAAAAATAATTGAAAAATGTTCATAAACTTAAAAATCATCTATAAATTTAAATGTTTACCTTTTGCAACCATTGTATGGCTTGACTATTCACTTTCTGATGACTAAGGCTATGTACAGAATCTGTCAATGCAATGGCAAATACGCGGTTTTGAAATGATTCACCAAGCATATTGAGCTAAATGAAAAAAAATATAATATTAATAACATTTTTTAAATCTATTTCTCTTAAATATTTTAATGAACTAACCAAATTCATTGTTACAACTCCTCCATAACTATGAGCAATTATAGCAATATTTTTAGCAGGAGTCTTCTGAATAATATTTTTCCATACATATAAAGCATGATTATCAGAATTTTCACTTCCCTAAGAAAAAATTTAAAACTTTCAAAAATTAAAAAATAAATAAATGGAATTTTAAATTTAAATTAAATTTTACAAAATTTTTAAAATAATATATTTTATTTATACATTTTTTAATTAAAAAATACTCTTTCTTTGAATATATCTATATATATTACAATATATTTACATCAAAATTAAATTCATTAAATAATTTTTGTTTTATTTGAATTCAAGATAGATCCTAAAGGTAGAGTCCATGAGCTAAAAAACATTAAAATAAATAAATATTGTTATTATATCCAACAAAGAGAGATTTATGGTAGCTTTTGAACTTTATAGTTCATTCATCAACATTAAATTTATAAAATTAATTTATGTAAGCAATAATGTTTCAGGATATATTTAACTTGAAAAAATTCTTGCTATCTAAAATTTCTTTGAGAAAGCAAAGAACATTTATTTAATTATAAAAATTTTTATTAAATAATGTCATGTTCAATATGGCAAACATAATGATAAACACAGGGTGTCCCACTCAGGAGTACAACTTTAAAAATGTGAATTACTTGCAAACGCGTGCATGTATCATCATGAACAAGGCTCAAAATATTCCTTATTTAATGAAGATCAGAGTGTGGTGCATGATTTCTTGTTCTCGGATCATTGGTTCAATTTTCTTTGATGAGACAGTGAACACTGACCAATACTTGTCCATATTTGACGAATTTGTGAAATGACTGGACAACTACAAACTTCAAGAAGATTACTTCCAACAGGATGGGGCAACGTGCCATACCTCTCATGTCAGTATGGATGAGATCCGATCGTTTTTTGGTGACAGGGTGATCTTGAAAGGTTTGTGGCCACCTCAATTTCCCAATTTAACTCCCCCAGGACTATCGAACAACTGAAAGCAAACATCAAGCGTAAAATTGCTGCCATCGATAGTGACATGTTGCAGAGGACATTCTCAAATATGGAGTGTTGTGTTTCCTTGTGTGCAGATGTTGGGGTAGGACATTTTCAGCACCTTTTGTAAATGTCAAATGTCACAAATGTCAAAGTATTGTTTTCCACTAAATACAGGTATGTTCAGTTCTTACAGCTCACCTTTACGTTCACGTGTTCGCGAGTAATTTGCATTTTTAAAGTTGTACTCCCGAGTGGGACACCCTGTACTATATTATTGTAAAGCAGAACCATATTTGTTGACCAGAACCTTCATCCAATTGGAGAAGGCCATGCCAACACTTTAAAAACTGTTTGAATGAAAGGACCACTTGTGGAACCTTTCTATTCTAGAAATTTTCAGACAACAATCTCCATTTGATGTTTTTCTAGTGTCTGAACCTCAAAAAGTTTACTTAATAACTTGGTATATCTTAGTTAGTTTGAGTTGTTTGAACATTTAACTTGTTATTTTGTTAAATTAAATAAAATGCTTCTTATGAGAATTCATCTCATGTTCTTTATTTGCAACAATACATCAGGCTTGGACAACAATACAGCTTGTTAAAATGTGAATATTTATAATTTCCATAGGAATTTCATATATAATCATTCCAATTGGAAACATATCAGTTCAAACAGTTTACTTTATTGGATGAAGAAAGCTAAAGACTAGACTAGTAGACAATAACATCATTAGACTGACTGAATACATCACTGATTGTAATTTTTCATTTAATTACTTTTATGAATAATTTAATAATTATAATTTTAGAATAAAGAAAATTTTACATAAAAATTATTTATATTTTGTTCACAGAAAAATATGCTTAGTAAAGTCAAAAATAAAACAAGATTTTGATGCTGCCTAGTAATAGTTGCCATTATTGAACATTAAGAAAATGTTCAAATGCATGTGTGCTTTCTTAAACATTTTGGTCCTTGTTAAACACTGTAGATGTTTATATTTGGGTGGATTAGAACACAAATGTCAAAGTATTGGAGTATGTAGGTGTGCTCCATCATAACTCTGAAACGACACTTCACAAATAGAGAATAAACCATTAAATTCATAAAAAATGGCCAACAGTAATTTACAGATTAAAAATACAAAAATCTGTACATATATATATATATATAAAAAAAACTATATTACATACAAATGTACGAACAAATAAAAACCCAGCGAAGCGGGTCCTTGCAGCTAGTTAAAATATAAATTCAAAATATTTATCTTCTTAATCCATTGTTACACGACACCAGTGACAAACCAAGAAACACTCAATCTTCACTTACAGATATGAACTTTTACTGAATAAAAGTTGAATAAAAGGTCATCTCTATAAGTCTCTTGAGGCTACACCTCTGTAAAAAATACACACTGGTTTAAAAAAATCTGGTGGTTATATCACAATCTCAACCATTAAACTCATCACCAAACTTGGTAAAAATTTGTTAAGGAAATTAAATATTTTGATAATGTATATAGTAATGAAACTATTTTGTGCTTATAAATGTATGAATAGCATAAGTGCTTTAAAGAAGACTGTAAATCAACATCCAGCTGGGTCAGCTTCAGCAAGAAACAAAGAAATGATTTCCTGAGTTTATGAAAGAATTAAGGAGACAACTGACAATCAAATAAGTGATCTGATCAACATTTTAGGAATTTACATAATGATGTAACTTATATGCCATTTTTGACAGTGACTTGAAAATGCATTCTCTGAGAAAGTTAACAGGTGAGCAATATGAAAAACATGCACTCATCAATAGACAACTGATTGATGCATTTAGTAAGGATCCAGATAGACCAATTGGGATTACTGGTGATAAAACTTGACATTTCTTGTATGACCTGCAGAGCAAATAAATCTCACTGATATAGAAATCAGCACCTTCACTGAGGCAAAAAAATTTCATCTTGGCAGAACTAAGGAGGAAGTAGTGCTTGTGGCTTTTTTTTATATGAAAGACATGTTGCGTTATGACTTACTTCTTACCCAACTATTTGTCATATATGTCATTAAATCTGTTGAATCTGATTTTCATAAAACACATTGGATTCAAGAATTTCATAAAGCATTTTTGTCGAATGTCAACAAATTAAACTTTCATTTGATTGAAGTATACCAGTGTGCAATATTAGCTACCAAATTAGACATTGAAGTTATTTCTAAGCAGATTATACCTTTGATAAGTGCGGTTATTATTATGCAACATTTTTCTGCATAATGATGCATTATAACTTTGTTACTGATGGTAGGACCCATTAAAAAAGCCCTATATTCATATTTTGATCATGACCATGATGCAGTAAGACAAAAAACCTCATACCTGGCAAGCAAAAAACTGGGTTTTTCATCAAGACAATGCCCCAGCACTTTCCTAATTGGTAAATATTTGGAGAAATTCCAGATGCCTATATTTTCATAGTCTCCTTACTCAACCAGTCTTACTTCATATTGTCACCAAAATGGAAGTTCTGCTCAAGAATTCAAATCAGCAAAAGTAGTGAAAAGTGTTGCAATGATTGCACTTGAGAAGGTAATGCAGAATGGACTGCAAAACTGTTTCAATAAGTGATACAAACACTGGAAGAAGTATTTAGCTTCAAAAGATGTTTATTTTAAAATGTGGTGTTTTATTTTGTTAATAGTACAAGAATTTATAGAAGTTATATTATATTTGATTTTGATTTTTTACTGTGCAATATATTTTAATTTCACATAAACTGAAATATTTCAATTAGATAAACTAATGTATTCTTTCACTTATTTAATTCAAAACAGAAATGATGTTCAATTCTATTGATTCATTTCTATATAGTCATTTTATTCAATGTTTTTATCTGTTAACATTCACCCAAGATTCAATATTGATAATTTTTATATTCCAAATTAAACAATAATAATCCTGTTTTCTCAATATTTGTTCAAAATCCTAAAGAAAATTTTAAGGAAAATGTTTTATCTTAAAATAAATCTAAAATATTATATTACTGATTATAATTCAAATAAAATATTATTTTTATATATAAAAATAACTAAAACTTACTCTGATATAAACTTTTTGATTGTTTATTTCCTTATAATTATCATTTGTATTCAAAACAACCACACTGAAACCTAAACCTTGTGCTCTTTTAATAAATGGCAATTGTGTTCCACTATCCAAACAATCATTGATAATTAATCTGATAAAATAAATTTTAAATCAGTTAATAAGATAATATAAATCACTAATTTTTTCATTTAAAAAAATTAATAAGATAAAATCATTTTACTGACCTGCGTGCCCACTGTCCTGCTCTCACAACTCCACTGCCATGTATTAATACTAATAATTTATCTTGATTTTTTACTACGTCATTGCTCATGAATACAAAGGTCTGAGGTTCATCAGAGGAAGCATCAAACTAGCACAAATTTATATAAATATCTTTCATATACTTATATTATACCATTTTTCATTGTGTAGCATATTTTTTCTATATTAATTGAATAAAATAAAATACTTATAATATACTAACTTAATATTTTAAGTACAACTAATTCAGATTAATGTTTTGGAAACTATAAAGTGAAGATTAGCAGATTTTGTGAATACTCTGATATTGATAAAATAAAAAATAAAAGTGTTGATTTTATAATAAGAATATAATTTTATACAGAATAGTCATAGATAGGATTTTTCTTATCCTATTAAAAGATATCCTAAGAAAAATATTGCCATTGATCTGATGAACAGTTCAATTACAAATAGCATGGAGAATATTGAAAGTGGATTTATGTACGCCAAAATAGACATCAAGATGTTATTTCAGATTAGGTTCATTGCTTGATTTCCACAAAAGAACTCTGCTTTGCTAAAGAATAAAAATTCTGAAAAATCATATGAAACTCTGCTGCTGCAAATAAAGACCAAATCATATCAGCAATAGAAAAAGTTTCTACATATAACAAATACAAATGTTTCTATTAAATATATTTTATTTCACAAAAATGTTTTTACTGTAATCTGTTTTTAAAAAAACAAAATAGCATTGTAAAGTATTGACCTTTTAGCAGAGAGGGAACAAAAGAGACACGACCTTGTCAATTGGGTCCACGTGCAGTCGGGTAGTAACCACTTGTAAGGTGTTGACTTGTAAACAGAGAGAAAACAAAGGAAGTGCTGACTTTGTCAATTGGACCCACCTGTAGTCAGACATTAGACCATTTGCCATATGGTAAACAACTGAATGTAAATGAGTGAAGGACGTTTATGTAAGCTCCACTCTCGTCAGATGATGGCGGACCCGAGCATAAACTGTTTGGGCAAGAAGGGGTTGTGATTTGTCGGAAGTCCCCATCCAAAAAAGCCTTAAATTGAGGGGCAAATGAGAGAGAGAGGAGAGAAGGGCAAGAGACTGGTACACAGTAGTCTCAGACACTTAGGAATCCCGCGGAGCGTAGAGAGAGTGTTCTCATCTCAGGGACAGGTTAGTGTGGAGACTGGATTGACCGTGCAGTTGAGCCAACTCCACAAGTTGACAGAGGCCTCTCCAAAGTTTAACAGTTCCTGGAAACCAATCTAGTATGCGAGTCACCACGCATTGTTATCCTGTATATATATTATGTTTTCGAACTTGTACTTTCTGCATATAGAATCTGTAAATAAACTGTAAATATTATCAATTTGAGTGTGGAGGTGTGCTTTCCATTAAACCTGGATCACTAGATCGAATCGTGATACACATGGAAACCAATTCAATGAGACGGAGGTTGGGAAAGAACTTCACTCAGATCTTCACTAGCATATCAAATATATCAAAAACTTTTAATTTTTCCAATATATGCATTATATAAATTTGATTTGCCAAACATTTGATTAATATTCAGTATATATATGGTTGAACCAAAAGTTTATTTGGTTTTTAGAAAGAAATAAAATACACTGTTTTGAAATAAATAAAAACCTTTAATCTGCAATGTATTCACCCTTCTGTTTGATAATCTTACGTGATCTGATGGGTAATTTCATAATTCCATCTGTGTAGAATTGGATGGATTTCTGATTGAAGAAATTATCAATGTGTTTTTTGATACCTTCTAAAGATTGAAATTCAATACCACTTAAATTATTTTGCAACGAATGAAAAAGATGATAGTCTGAGGAAGCAATATCCAAAGAATATGCAGGGTGACTCAAAACATTCCAGTTAAAGTCTAGAAGTTTTTGCAATACATTCAATGATATGTGCAGCCTTGTATTATCATGATGGAATACAACACCCCATCAATTTGCAATTTCCAAATGTTTTTGATGCACTGCAGTCTTCAGTTCAACCAGTTGGAGATAATATTTATTGAATTAACTGTTTTGGTTGGATAAAAAGCTCATAAAGAATCCCTTTCCAATCCCACCAAACTGAAATCATTACTTTTCTGGGATGCAAACCAGCTTTAGATTGTGGCATTGGCAGATCACCTGGCTTACCCCAAGATTTTGTGTTGAATATTGTTGTATACAATCCATTTTTAATCGCCTATTATTAATAGCTTTAAAAATGGGTCATCATAAATACACTTAAAAAGTGAATAACAAATAGAAATACATTGAATAAGTAACTGATAGGGAAACTAACATCATAACAGGAAGTGTATCCAAGGCTAGCCAAATTATTGACAGCAAATGCTTAGGATATTTTTAAAGTGTTGGCAGCTATCTCTCATATTGTTCTAGGCTGATCATTTTGGAATAAAGCCACTATGGACTCATTTTTTATAGTTGAGGGCCATCCTGACTGAGGTGCTTCTTCACGAGAAAAATTGCCTACCCTAAATTTTGTAAACCATTTCTTACATGTTCAATCAGTAACTGCATCCTCTCCATATATTCTTTTGAGTTTTTGTTGCATTTTTTTCCCTTTTCAGAAATAATAGTGAGAGATGTTGAGAATGCACCTTCTTATCTTCCATTTTAATATTGTTTTTCTTAAAAGATAACAGAATTTTAAAAAATAACTGTAACTAGACTTACATATTAAATATGCAAATATTCGCAATGCCCACCAGTTAAAACTTGATAAGAACGACAGAGGTGATACAAACGAGCAATTATATAAATACCTGAACAAACTTTTGTTTCAACCCCATATTTTAAAGAATGTCAAATAACTTTATTATGTTTAAGGTATTGTATGCCTACAATTGCATTCATTATAATTGAAAAATGCCACATCAAATGAATTTTGATATCTAAAATTTGAAAAAGTTTATTTATTTTCTAAAAATCTAATATTTGATAGCTGTTGATATTTTCTTTTTCTCTGAATTGCATCATCATTGCAGTCAGCTCATAATATGTCACATCTTATCATATTCATAATTTTACCTCTTAAATTAATATAATAGAAAATATAGCAAAAATAGGACTTTATATTCTTCAATATAACATGTATTTATAAAGTATGTGTATACATATACATATATATTTTAATATCTTTACGTAATTTAAGCTTAATAATGTTTCCATAAGAATAATATAAAATTTTTACATGCTTTACACTTCTCAGTTTTATTTTCTGTTATATAAATTACAATATTTCAAAGTCTATTTTCACATTAAAAAAAATCAATATTGAAATAGTTTATTTAAATTTTAAATAAACCAATTCAATTTTTTTGCAACAACATAATCATCAAAATCTGATTTACACAGCAAATTAAAATAAACTGTCAAGCTTACTTTATATTGTCTTAATGCTGTTAAATATGTCACAATATAAAATTTCATCTTATGCAAATAAAAAATTTAATTCTGTGCTTACCTCCAAAAAAACTTAATTATTGCAATATTTTGATATTTTACCTTTACAAATTTGCTTAAAAAGTTAAAAATTAGACCAGAGAAAATTCACATAATTTGTACAATGTTAATATTAAATAAAAATCTTAATGAAATGTTTTCATAGTTTATGAAAGTTTTCTATTTTGTTAATTGTACACTTTATCGCCTCTATTTTTATTTTTTATTAGTTTCTTAATAATATATTACTATTTACTTTCATTTATTTTTATTACTTTAATACCAATAAATAGCAATTTTACATTATCATCAATAAAATTTTAAATTATTTTAAACAAATATTACTTTTATTCTGAAATATAGCATTTAATATTTACTTATTGTCAGATTATACTACAATAATTCCATATCATTCTTAATAGATTATATTACAGTCCATTTAGATATTTAAAGCAAGCTTTTGTTTAAACTAATTTGAAATTCTAGCTCTTGTGGACATAAACTGTTATGATTCTTTTCACTTCAAAAATATAATGTAAATGCACAACTGTATTTACATATGTGCTTATATATGCATAATTTAACAAAAAGCAATAACTACAAGACAAATATAAAGCAGAAGATATAAATCTATACTAATATAATAAAGAGGTAATGTTTGTATGTTAGTTTGTATGCAGCAGGTAATCTCCAAAACTACTCATCCGATTTCAAAAATTCTTTCACCAATATTTAGAATGGAACCTCAGGGTGGACATAGGCTGTCGAATACATGTCGAAATTACCCCATTGGGGGGAGAGGGACAGGATTAAGGCTTACTGTGAAGAACTTCACTTCTATTATACTATTTTAGATGCGGTTTTTTGCGTTTTTGATTGCGTTTTAATAGAGTACGTCAACAGAATGTACACTAAGAAGGGATTTTTCGATATTCCCCCCGGGGGAGAGGGACAGGATTAAGGCTTACTGTGAAGAACTTCACTTCTATTATACTATTTTAGATGCGATTTTTTGCGTTTTTGATTGCATTTTAATAGAGTACGTCAAGAGAATGTACACTAAGAATAAATTTTTCGAAAAATTTTCTCCCAGGGGGGAAGTGTTATACATTTATAATAGATACATTTTGAGCCACAACAACGCGTGGCGGGGTCTGCTAGTGGTACATAAAACCATTATTACAGACTGAGAAGAGAAATATTATAACCAAATAACTTTTTTCATTTTTAGTTAACTTTATTGGACTAATTACAACACTTATCATTTTCTTCAAATTGTTTTGGAACTGCATCTTGTCTGATTGTTCAATATTATTTGTATTATGGCTCTAAGATTGCTGTTTAATATCAGACTTATTACAACTGTCTCTATGTATGTCTCCTTGCCTCGGTATAAGTCTGATATTAAATCACAATCTTAGAGCCATAATACAAATAATAATTACAGTGGAATTCTAAAAGAATGCTAATGTTTTAGATCCTGTTAATGAATCATCTGACTTTTGACACCTGGGAATGACCCACTAACAGGGTCAAAAATATTAGCATTCTTCTAAAATCCTGCTGTGATAAGTATATCATTTTTGTTAACTTCATTCAATAATATGTAAATTATGATTAATATTGTTTGATGCACTGCAGTCTTCAGTTCAACCAGTTGGAAATATGTTAAGTAAAAAAATACTTACTGGTATATATTTTTTTACCAATCCTGTGTCATTAATCAGTAGTTCATATACATAGTCTGTTACCAACTGAAATAAAATATATTTTAAACAAAAGTAAAAGAAACCATTATTTTCAATAAATTTATAATTCATTTTTCTTGTAACAATGTATTTTACTAAAATATGATATATATCATTATACTGTATATAAACTATATATATATATTACTTTCCCTAAAAACTAACTTTGAAGCACAACAATAACATATCTTTTGATGATAAAATAGGAAAAAAAGACCTATTCATTTAACATATAAATTTAATGAACCAAAATTTATGTGAATTTGCTTTAAAATTTTTATTTAATTAATTTTTTTACTAATCAATGTTTTGTGTAATATATGAAATATTTAATACAAGAATAAATTAAATAAAAAATTTTTGAAAGACTAGCATTATAATTTGTATTTAGTCTTTCAAATTGTAAACAATGAATAAGATTTAGATACATTTATGAAGATTAGACATGAAAAAGATGTTATGTTTAAAATTACAAAAAGAAAAAAAAACTAAAACTAGAATCAAATAATCATATGGGCAAAATAAATATTATAGAACTTTAATATCTGCACAAATTAACCAAAAAAATTCTATACACTTACAATATTAATTATTAATATAATTTATTTATTTATTTATTTATTATATATATATATTCTGTCCTCAACCCGTCTTTCCATATTTACAATGAATGAAAGTAATGTATTAAAAATTTATTTTCAGTTTCAAACAATTGGTTGCATTTGCTAATGGCACATTACTATAATGAAATGTTAAATGTAATATTGTATTGGGCAATAAACATACTCTATATTAACAATAACTCATAAATTTTTTCACGTTTAACTATTACTGAAGTCTTACTCATTATCACTCAAAAAATGAAATGGAACTAACAGTTTTTTACAGCTCTTTTCATCAGGATTACATTCTAATTTCATATTCTTTATAATGTTCAAGTGAATTCGTAATAAATTAAATAAACAAAAATAAAAGCAAGTCTACATTTAAAAAAGAAGTGTGAAAAAGAATGAGTGAAGACATCATTTTTCAGATAGTCTATGTTTGTTTGTTATTTTAAAAATCAATTCTATATAAAGATTGCAATACTCCCAGTATGATTTTTAATTCTTTGAACATGGTTGACTAATACACATTTTTCATAAATCTTTTAACAAAATATAATACTTATTAAGTAAAAATATTAAGCATCATAGTTCAATACACTGTTTAAGTGTATTGTCACCATATTGTATTTTAGTATATATGTAAAGTACAGTGACATTCCATTAACCTGGCATCATCAGAACCGATGCAGTGCTGAGTTATTGAACATACTGACTTATCAAATGATAGAATTTCTTTCCAGATTTTTCAATTCCCATGACATAATTTTACATATCTTTGCATGTAAAACTACAAATCTGCTTTTTATGATTGTTTAACATACCACTTCAATTTTTTCAATTATTCCTAACTTTGATTATTTTGAAACAAGAACACTAACTAGAATCTTACTTGTATTTTGTACACTTTTATCTATATCTACTCTATATTCTATATATTTTACATATAAAAGCAAAATGTTCCATCATCACCAACTAAAACTGAAACTAACACTTGTACAAAGAATTGCTATGAAACTCAACTCCGACTGCCTGGATGAAATATACCAAATTAATCAAGATGGACAACAAGTAGTTTATCCACATTTTCTGAAATATTGTTTCAATTGATTTGATTTTAATTATAATTACAGGTAGCCCTCGGTTTATGCTGCAGTTCTGTTCCTACAAAAGCCAGTGCAAATCAAATCAGCATAAAATAAACCCATATTTACAGTGAGGTATAGGGTTAGGTTCTACATAAGTGAAAAATAAGCAAAAAATTTTGTTTATTAATACAATATAATACGAAATACATATAAATTTAATTTTTAAAACGTATTTTATCATAAAATAAAGTGAAATGTTTTTATTAAAAAATTTTAGTTTTGGATCTTGTACATTTTTCCATCTTTCCATCTTTAATTGTTTAAGTTTTTGTTTTCTTTCATTAAGAATTTCAGAATATGGTTGAATAGATGCGATGATGCTCCTTTTTATATTTGCACTTCGTCCCAATCATTGTCTAACTCACAAAGTTCATCTGTCAAACTTTCCATAGTTGAAAGGATATGTTAACCCGATGTAGAGCTACAGAGGAGTGAAGACACTGATTGGTCGACCACTGGTCGCCATAGCGCATATATAAGGTCAGTTTGAGCAGGAAAATTGAAGGTGGCTAAGGAGAGATAGATATCTTCTGACTGACAAGAAGTAGATATCATCTAGCCAACGAGAAGTAGATTTGTCTCACTAACAATAGTTTGTGATAACTGGAAGTGCTACTGTGTCGTAAGGTGTTTTCCTGAATGAACTGTTACGGGATACATTCATCAGTCTAGCATAGGGAAAATCAGGGAATTACACCACAAAACAGCAAATTGTGCAGCGACGTTATTGTGAATCAGCATAAATTGAGCTGGTGTAAACCGAGGGCTACCTATAATTAATTAATTAATTTTAATTTTATTTTAGTTATAGTTTCTGTTAAATTTAAATTTAATTTTAAATTTAAATATTTTAAAATTTAATTACTATTTTTAGTTTTAGTTTTAATTAACTGGCACCTAGTTATGTATAAATACAAATGAATACCCAGTGAATTGATACTCCTCCCAAAGATGCTGGCTTATCGGGTTTGCTGGCATACTGGATGCCACTGTAACTGATTCCAATATAATGTACACAGTTGAATTTCTATATAATAAATTGTCTCTGAAAGATTTTGAAAATCATTAAATAGGAAATGCACTGATAGTGCATTTTCTATTTAATGATTTTCTCTCCAAGAAAATAATCTTGTAATCATATTAATAACAAAATAAAGCACTTTATATGCATTTTACACAAAATAATCGAGCAGATGGTATAATATTTTTATTGAAATTGAGAAAAAAATGTTATGACTGAATTAATAAGCATTGTACTCTTATATTTATGTTGAAAAATAATCAGTAATCTGTCTGCATTTTTTACTGAAAGATTTTTTTTAACTCCTAATTGAGGAGCTCTGTTAATGAACTATTCTGTTAATGATTCCTTTCTTTATTTATCCTTCTGAAACAGAAAACAGAACAAATGCACAACCTAGTGGAATGACTTTTAATAAAGTCATTCCATTAGGTTGTGCATTTGTTCTGTTTTCTATTTCAGAAGGATAAATAAAGAAAAGTTATTTTACTTTTAGCATATAATTATAACTTAATTTAAGTAAACAGAAATATCATCCAAAATATTTACTTGCTGATAGAAATGTCTTCTTACAGTTTTGAACATATCAAAAAGTCATTAATTGAAACTATCCTCAGATACAGATGTTTTGATGTCAAATGTAATACAGAATAATATTTGTGAGTTGTATAAATGAGTCAGCATTTTAACCAATTTCAATGTTTATCAATACTAAAAATAAAATGTTTTCAACCCACCTTGCTTTCAAAACTTTATTATAAAGCAATTAAATTCATTAATATCAATTAGCTTTTAATCCCTTTTTACTTTCCTGACTGTTATAAATAACAGAGCAAAAACAGCAGTCAGTCAAAAATTGACCCCCAAGATTTTTACATTTTTGGACTCAGACCTTGAAACATTGAGAAATGCAAAAAAATTGGGGAATTTTCTGTATGGATGGATGTGTGGGGGGCATGATTATGCTCACCCTCTTTGAAACTTAATAACTCCTGTGCAATTTGTTGAAAATTTTTGAAATTTTGCAGGGAGATTTGTTTATTAGGGGATTGATGCTATTAAATTTAGATAATTAAAGGTTGAGGTGGTGAGAGATAAAGGATGTCATGTGTATCTCCAATACAGTTAGACCTAAAGATGATTTTACTTATTATTAACATTTACAATTTTTTTATAAAACCCATCACTAACCTCAAAATTAAGCTTTTTGCCATTTTGTAATAGTTAAAAATATAAAAAGTTTTTAATAATAAATATCATAACAGATGTGCTGCACCATCAAATGTTGCTAAAAAACTTAAGCAACTTGTTGCTGGATTTTTTATAATATATAATACAAATATACTTTTTACACATACATAATAAGTTATTTTAATGAAAGGGTTATCACACACGAAACTATTAATGCCTTATATCATATTGCCTAATTAGGAGATATATAAGGCATTTTACTATGTATTTTAGCAAAATACTTTATTATGTGTGTAAAAAGTATATTTGTATTATATAAATTCATTAAATTTAAACATAAAATTTAAATTTAATAAAACTTAATTTTTAAATGTAAAAAAAAAAAAAAAAATGTATTTCAACATTCTATAGAAAAATTTCTTTAAACAAGAAATTCATATAGAATTTTGTAATATGTAAGTTGGATTGCACTTGTAATATTATATATATCAGCAATGGAAAATCTTTTTCAAAGGTGGGTCAAAATAGAATTTGAAATTTAGTAACTCCAAATTACAAATCAAATATTTAATTTGAGTAATTAAAAAATAAAAATTGCTTTCAAATTTTACTTTATTTAACTTTTTAATCTCTATCAGAAAAATAACAATAAAGTCTATATAAGTGAAAAGAAAATAATAATATGATTATAATAATAAATATGTATTTAATGGAAAATATATTACTTATTTGATGATACTTTTACTGAGACTCATAATTAGTGGGCTTTAAGATCCCATGATAGCTGCAGGATCCTGTTTCACACCACATAACTAATAGAAAGTTTTGAAATCTATCAAATATTCTTTTTATAATTTATAAAAACCTAATATTTTCTAAACTTCTAATGCAGGTATCTTGAAATTGTTGTACAGTTCACAGGTTTACCATCACTGATCACCTTGCCTTGGAACAATACTCCATTCTAATCATAATTTTTTATGACTTCTCAATATTTTAATTATTGAGAATAGCCAAATAATGATATAAAAGAGCCAGAAA